TAATAATAATAATAATAATAATAATAATAATAATAATAATAATAATATCTGGAGAAGTGAAACCATTTTTTAAAAAATCGTGCTTACTTCCTAAAATTCCATCAGGCCAGGAAAAGAGGCTTACACAAGTCTGTCAGAGACAGAGACAGACACAAGTCTGTCTTTTTATGCCAATTGCCCAACCTAATTGCTGAAATTTGCTAATAGATGGTTAGTTTTTTTTTCCTGATGTAGCAAAGTTTTTGCATTCTTAAAAATTACTTCTGAGGAAGCCTCAAAACGACCTTCCTTAACTTCTGAACTGCTTCTACCCTACCTTAAAATCCTGATTTGTAGCCTGGAAATCAATGCTCCTAAATTCATTTCTGAAGGACTTTCAGCTTTTTTTTTAGTTGTGGCTAAAATGTAGACTACGAAGATAGAAATGTGGAAAAATTGGCACGCTTCCATGCCAACAACCTGCAGTTAATTCTCGTTCAAAAGTCCTAATTTAAAAAGGAAACGTAGTGTGATATATTTATCGTTTATTTCATCTTTGAGAAAAAAAATAATAATCTTGGTTATATGAGCCAGCAAGTCTTTTTTAAAAGGGCTCTCTCACAGAATTTACACCCATAAAAAGAAGCTCGGCTAATTAAAATCCACCCAGGGTGTTTCGAGGGCAACTTGATTAAAATGAAAGCACAGTCCACATTCAACAAATTTAATTGCCCCCTTGCGGCTTCCAAAATTAAAATGGGAGCGGGAGGTCTGTTTTGTGACTTCAAGGAATGAAATAAATGTTTCATAATCCTTAATTGCATTATCCCCATAAAAACCACAATATTTTTTTTAAAAAAGCAGAGATGGCAGCTTTTACAAAGATCAAGATCGCTTTGCAAACATTCCCCATTCTAAATTGCTTAGCATCATGTTTTACGGATGTTTTTCACGCCTGTCCCACACCCTGGAGGTTTTGCCATTGTGGATTTTATTATTAGCTCGATGCCCGTGCTTGGCTATGAAACTATGGGGTCAGGCTTAGTTTTGGGGGAGAAAAATAATGGGGGGGCGGGGATTCTGCCTCTGCCTACCAGCATCGATTGGTATTCATCTGGCTAGCGTCCTGTCAGTGTGTGAGAGAGTTGAGGGCTGTTTGGAAACTGAAACAGTATTTGCTATGTGACCAAGAAGGAGACAGCAAGGAGCCTAGGCATGGCTTAGCTCAACTGTTTTGTACTAAAGCTGCTTGCTGCTGTGAAACTGAAACTGAAATTCCTAATATAGGAAATAATAACGGCTCTGATGGCCATTTGGAAAAATCCTTTCTTAATGACCACCTAGAAGCCAAGAGGAACATACATGCCAAATTTCAAGTTTGTAGGCTTTACGGTTCTGGAGATTTTGTGATGATGCGTGAGAGGTATTTCGCTTTTATATACTGTATATGCAGGTCTTGGCGTGTTAGGGTCTAATATATATCTCATATACAGTACATATCGTATGTATGTATGTATGTATGTATGTATGTATGTAGATTTTCACGGGTACAGGTATGTAGGTCTAGGTGTGTTTGGGTCTTTTCCCATGTAAGATTAAGAGTATCTTGGCAACGTTTCGGTGAGGTCCCACTCGCCATCCTCAGGCTGGTGCTTTCGGCTTCGTGCCAGTGCAAGCAGTGAACCAACCTCCCCACCAGTATATATAGGGAGACGGCAGCTCCGATCATGCTTTGCTCGCACAAACACGAAGCCGAAAGCACCAGCCTGAGGATGGCAAGTGGGACCTCGCCGAAATGTCGCCAAGATACTCTTAATCTTACAAGGAAAAAGACCCGAACACACCTAGACCTACATACAGTATGTGTGTGTCTGTGTATGTTTTCTGAGGTTCTCGCGGGTATTTGTATGTGGATCTTTGGTTATTCGGGTTTTCTCCCGCATAAAATTGGAAGTATCTAGGCAACGTTTCAATGAAGTCTCATTCATCATCTTCAGGCTTGTGTCTTCGGCTCTGTGCTTCTCAGAGTAATGTGAGCTTGCAGCTGCTTCTTCCTTTTAACTGCTAGTGGGGGTGTGACTTGATCGGGTGGGGGCTTGGCTGTGTTCTGATTGGCTGGGGGTGTGTTCTCATTGGTTGGGGGCCTAGCTGTGCTCTGGTTGGCTGGGGGGTTGGCTGTGCTCTGATTGGCTGGGGGTGTGTTCTGTTCAGGTGGGGGCTTGGTTGTGCTCAGGTTAGTCTTAGTTGCTGGGGGATTTGAGCTGGTGAGCTGTGATCCTGCTGTTGGCTTCGTGTTCGTGGTTGTGCTGCATCTTCATGGTGGGCGTCAGTTTGCTTCATGTATGGGTCAGAGGGGTTTGAAGCAGGTAGTGATGCAACTGCCGTGCGGCTTCTGGTCCGTGGTCATGTCTCATCTTCTGTGTGGGTGTGAGTCTGCTCTCTTCGTGGAAGTGTGGTGGTAGCATCTTGTGTGGCCCTCGTGGGTGTGGGTCTGGTGTCATTTTTCATGTTAGGTACTCGTCTGTTCATGAGGGCGGGTTTCCAAATGGCTGGTAGGTGGGAGGTGTCATCTCGTTTATTCATGCTGTGTGGGCATTTTTCTATCTCTATGGCTTCTCTGATTATTCTGTTGTTGAAGTGTTCGGTTTTGGCAATAGTTCTGGTATTTTTAAAGTTTAAAAATCAGAACACAGCCAAGCCCCCACCCAATCAAGTCACACCCCCACTAGCAGTTAAAAGGAGGAAGCAGCTGCAAGCTCACATTACTCTGAGAAGCACAGAGCCAAAGACACAAGCCTGAAGATGATGAATGAGACTTCATCGAAACGTTGCCTAGATACTTCAAATCTTACGCGGGAGAAAACCCGAACAACCAAAGATCTACATATATATATATATATATATATATATATATGGATGAACACTATACAGAAGCCTGATGATGGCAGATGAGATTCTGCCGAAACATTGCTACAACTTTAAAAGCACAACTACAATGAGGTGGGAAAATACACGAACAAAGCTGAATGCCATACATGTAAGTACCCGCGAAAACTTAAGAAAACATATATATAT